AATAAAACACAGGTAAACATCTTTCTGGTATTCTCTGCTTTCAGCCAGGATCCATCTGACATCAGCAATGATATCCCTGGTTCTACATCCTCTTCTGAATCTGGCTTGAATTTCTGGCAGTTCCTGTCAATGTACTGCTGCAACCTCTTTTGAATGATCTTCAGCAAAATTTTACTTAAGTGTGGTATTAATGATATTGTTCGATAATTTCTGCATTCTGCTGGATCACCTTTCTTTGGAATGGGTACATATAATGTACCTCCAGCCGTTAGGCCACGTAGCTGTCTTCCAAATTTCTTGGCATAGACAAGTGACTGCTTCCAGCACTGTATCCTTTTGTTGAAACATCTCAATTGGTATTCTGTCAATTCCTGAAACCTTACTTTTTGCTAATGCCTTCAGTGCAGCTTAGACCTCTTCCTTCAGTACCATCAGTTCCTGATCATATGCTACCTTCTAAATCGGCTGAACATCCACCAATTCTTTTTGGTACAGTGACTCTGTATATTCCTTCCATCTTCTTTTGATGATTCCTTCATCGTTTAATATTTTCCCCATAGAATCCTTCAATGTTGCAACTGGAGGCTTGAAATTTTTCTTCAGTTCTTTCAGCTTGAGAGATGCTAAGCATGTTCTTCCCTTTCAGCTTTCTATCTCCAGGTCTTTGCACACATTTCATTATAATACTTACTTTGTCTTCTCCAGTTGCCCTTTGAAATCTTCTGTTTAGCTCTTTTACTTCATCATTTCTTCTGTACGATTAGATACTATAATTATCTTCATTTTATATATAAAGAATTTAAAATATAAAGAGGTTCATAACTTGACCAAGGTCACAAAGCTAGGACGTTGCCTATACTCTTAGTCATTATATTTAAGATCACTCAACTGACTCTTACCTTCCAGGATTGTATTAAGAATCAAGAGAAAGAAAGCTAGTGAAACTGCTTTGTAAATTATAACGTGTCAAATAAAATTTTAGTAATTCTACGGAAACAGGAGGCATATTAAATTGGGAGTCACAACCTGGAGTTGCCCTGACACCAGATTTTAAAGAGCACCTAATGAACCAGAAAAGAGGGCAGAGAAGGTATCCCATAGGGAAGAAAGAGGATCTGGCATATTGAAGAATGCTGCTGTGGAATAAAAGAATAAGAACTAGGGCTCGTTTGATATCTTCTAATACAGTGTGTCAAGAACTACCAATCATCAACAAAGTATGTTATACCCTAGCACTCAAGAGCATGGACTCTGATGTCAGGCTGCCTTGGTTTGAATTCTGGCCATGTGACTATGTGGAAAGCCATTTAATCTTTCTGTGGCTCAGTGTTCTCATCTGTAAACATGGGGATAACAGTACCCACCTCATAAGGTTATTGTGAGGAATAAATAAATTAATAAACGTAAAGTACTTAAAATAGTGTCTGGTACGTAGTACCCATTGCCGCTGAGTTGATTCCAACACATAGCGACCCTGTAGGACAGAGTAGAACTGTCCCATAGAGATTCCAAGCTGTAAATCTTTAAGGAAGCAGACTACCACATATTTCTGCCACGGAGCGGCTGGTGGGTTCCAACCTCCTGCCTTTCAGTTAGCAGCTGAGCTCTTTAAACACTGAGCCACCAGGGCTCCTGGTACATAGAAAGCACTGTGTAATTATTAGATAGTATTATGCTGGTTAGATTTCTAGAAATTCTGTTCTTTCCACATGTTTGTGACATTATTCTTGTTTGCTAGACTAACACACCCTTGACTGAAGTGGATTTTCTTAGTTTACTCTCTTATTTTGTGAGGAGGCAAGAAAGCAAGTGAAGGAGACTGGGGTGGGAGTGGTGAGGGAGAGTGGTGGCAGCCTAGGAAAAAAGAACAAAGTCTAATTCCTTGAAATGCAAATAATAAAGGTGCCAGCCTGGGACAGAAAAGTTCCTCTCTGGCTTAACTCATCAGTAAGTTTTCAGAATTACAAGATTTAAAAATCAGCTAACTGTTTATTAAAAAACAACAACATGGAAGAAAACACCCAAATCATGGGAGAATGCTTTCAAGGAGGCAGAAAAAGGGCCC